TGAAGCTGAAACTCCAATACTTTGGCCACCTGATGCGAAGAACTGAGTCATTTGAAGAGATCCTGATGCTGGAAGGGTTGAAAGCGGGACAAGACAGGTCGACAGAGGATGAGATGGTTGGATGGCATCACCAACTCAAGAGACATGAGTTTGAGTGAACTCCAGGAGTCGGTGATGGACAGGGAGGCCTGGCATGCTGCCATCCATGGGGTCGCAAAGAGTCAGACATGACTGAGTGACTCAACTGAACTGAACTGATTCGAGCAGATACTTTCTCTTGATTGTTCTGTTTGCTTGTTTGCAGCTCCCCAGGCCCTAATGTAATGTAGGGTGTGTAGCAGAGTCAGTGACTACCCACACACACCTTTGCAGTGTTCCGAGCACACTCAGAAGATCGTAGAGGAGTAGTTGAAATTCTTCGCTGGGCACAGTTCTATCTACAGGGACACCCCTCTTTATCCTTTTTCCCTAGCCATGACTGATGTGTGGCGTGGACCAAAGACCAGAGCTTCATTTTACCGCCTTCCTGTGGCAGCCGCCCCACTTAGCTTCCTGTTCTAAGATACTGGCTTCCACAGCAGAATCCTCCTTGCTCTGTTGGGGGAGTGTGTGTATGATGGGTGTTTTACAGGGTATTTCCTTTTTTCTTAACTTGTTGGCTCTGCTCTTTCACATTGAACCTTTTTTCCAATTAAAATTAGAGACCCATTAGTGAGCTGTTCCTGGGTGAGTTAAATGAGATGAAATTTCTGGGGAAAGCCTGAAATCTGTGTGCTATATAATTCATAATTGAATTCCTCTTCTCTGCCAGGAATTATTTTAAATGTTGGAGAAAGAAAGATAAATAGTATGTGGACCCTGGCCTATAGCTGCTCACAGTTTAGTTAAGGAGAAAATATACAAATGGTTAAAATGATACACAGAACAGGCAGTGACTAAGTCATCCTTCGTGAGATCAAAGATGTTTCCAAAGGGAATGGACAATTTGAACCTTATTTTATTTAACATGTTTAATTCAGTTCTGTCCTATAAAGTCCATTTTTAAAAATATCAACATGTGAGTTTTACTCTTTGACATGTTCCTTTGCTAAATTTCAACCCTGTTAGGTTCATCAAATTCATAATAAGGAGAAACATTAAAATAGGTATAATTATGTGACTTCTCTTTATGTTATTTAGGTAACTGCTGAGAAAACTGCACTGCTCACCAACAGCTGATGAAATTATCGAACAAGCGAATCAACCATGTCTTACACTCCAGGAGTTGGTGGTGACCCCGCCCAGTTAGCCCAGCGTATCTCTTCCAACATCCAGAAGATCACGCAATGCTGTGAGTTGAGTTTTTTTGGTTGTTTGTTTGTTTTTGTGAGTTGAGTTTTAAATTGACTTCACTGTTTGTTTTCAATTCTTTCTGGGAACTTGGTGGAGATTCAGAAATGGACAACTAGTGTTCCTCCAAGAAGAGATTTTAAAAGGCTGGACCTCTTTAGAAGGAATGTAAGAAATAATTACATTAGAAGAGACCAGTTAACTGCATTTTTCTGTAGTGTGTTAGGCAGCTAATAAATGTTCATTAATGAAAGATTTAAAAATGTAGATACCGAGGTTTACTTTAAAACTATCTGATTCTAGATGAGATGATCTGATGAAATCTCATAGCTTTGGAGCTTGGAAGCACTATCAAGTTTTAGGAACTTTAGTTTGTTAAAAATAAAATCTGGCTGGACATGATTTAGGTTAATTTTGTCAGGGGCAAATGTGTGGTACATTATTAAGGGCAGGGATGAACTAAAGCGGGGGTATTGCTATCTCCTGAGGCAGATGTAGAAGATAACCATCTCGATTCCCCACAAATTATCCTTTGCTGTACTTGTCAAAGATGGAATACTAGAAAAATAGTTTAATGTGGCATATTGTTAGGAATTATTACTCCTCAGAGTATATATAATAAGAATTTTTTAAAAAAATCACAGATCTGAGCTATGGGTTTTTTTTGGCTTTTTGTTTCTGAATCACAGCTAACCCTATACCTGTATTATTCTGGTCATTTTGCAGTCAGTATTTTGGTCATCCGGACTTACCTAAATTCTTTCAGGATATGTTAATCTACGTAGTTGTATTTTTCAGCCGACCTCATTAAGGCTTCTCTCTTTACCAGAACACTGACGCACTGGAACATCTGAAATGTTTTCAGATGACCAGCTGTGTTTCTGTAATCATTAACTTCCCAACAGTTAATTACTCTACCTTAAAGATTGAAGTGAGATATCAGTGTGTTTTGGAGTCAAAGGGGGTAAATTCGATTACAGATGATTCTAAAAAAGCGCTGCCATGTTCAGCAGTGTAAGGTAACTCATATTCCGACTTGGGGTAACTCTAGTTTTCCTTGGCTGTCCGTGGAGCAGCAAGGAAGGGAATGGCATGGAGGTCCCACCTTGGCCCTGCAGAGTCCGTAGGATCGGCGCCCTGATGCTTGTTCCAGTTTGTCCCGGGGCGCCCATGTTGGCTCCACCTTGCTCCTCTGGCTTCAGGTCTGTCCTCGTAGTTAACTGCAAGGGCCTGTCCTTTTATGGTTCCCTCACTGCTGATTAGAAATAATGCTAGTCTGCCTCAGGCTACCTGTGGGAAGATAAAATGAATTTATAATTTTAATTTGCATATGTGGAAGTTCAGGACCTTTATCCAAGAAAGGAGGCCAGGAGGTCTTTTTCCATAGGATAGGATTGGTATCTTACATTGGGAAAGCTAAATGGTGTCAGGAGTTCTGGGAAGAAGATGGGAATGACTGTAATGCCCAGAGATTACAGAAGTGTGCACTTAGTAGGATGAAGGATACGTGGATTGGAAATGGTGTCTGAGCTTGAACTGGAAGGAAGGTAAGAGTTAACTTCAGTTAGGTCACACTCCCTCAAGGCCACCCAGATGATGTGAGGTAAATTGGACCAGACTTGCATACTCATGGCGTGGTTGATAGCTAAATATGTGACGACACTGTGGTATGGGTCAGTCTTGGGGTATGTGGGAGGCTGAAGAGAAGACCCGAAACTCTTGTTTTTAACAGCCTTGTGAAGAGCTGTTAAAGAGACGGGACTGTTGAGCCCCGGGAAGGTACAGTCACCACCTTCAGGCAGTTGAAGCACTGTCTTGTCTGAAGCACAAGGGATCGACCCTGCTTCATCACAGAGGCCTCCACAGATGGACAGAACCATGGTAGTCAGTCTTCAGCTTGCAAAGGAATAAGGGCTTTTGAACAATCCTGGTTACTTAGAGATAGAACTGTCTACCTCAGAAGCAGCGCAATTCTGAGCAGCATATGGTGGTAAAGTATTTCTCAGGTCTGTTACTCAGAGTTTTAGATTCCTGAATAATGGTTCAGACTGAGTGACTTTAAAATTTTGATATTAGGTCTTTATTCATTCAGCAAATAATTTATTGAGCACAAGCTGTTTGCTTGTTTAAGACCCAGGGTATCCAGCAGTAAACAAGATCCAAAAGGTCCTGTTCTGTAGTTTCCAGTGTGAGGAGAAACTGATGGATTTTTATTAAAAGAATTAATGAGCAACTTAGTTTCCCATGAAGAAAAAAAAAATAATGAGTGTGATATGAGCGCAGGTGATTAGGGGGAAGCTGCCTTAGCTTAGAGAATCCTCTGAATGCAGAAGAGGAGGGGCTGGTAGGGAGAAGATACTGGGGAAGAGCAATTAGTTGGAAGCCACAGCTGGTAGTTTTAAAAAGCAGTCCAGAGCTTAGGGTGTTCAGAAAACAGGAAAAAAGAAAAATCCAGTGTGGCTGATGCACAGCACTTGAGGCAGGAGTGGCAAGAGGCAGAACTGGGAGAGGAGGCCAGTCGGGTCACCTAGAGCCTTGGAGGCCATGGGAGGCCTTGTGGAGCTTAGATTTCATTCCAAGAGGCAGGGAAGAGACACAATCAGATCTGCACTCTGACAAGATTACTTTGGCTGCTGCTTAGGAAATAGACTTCGAGGAAGTAGAAGGAGGACACCCTGGCCGCGGCAGGGTTTTGGAGAGAGAGATGTTGCCTTGCCCCAGAGTGGTAGCCGAGGCAGTGGAGAGAATTGCTGGATGTAGTATGCAGGCACAGCCAGCAGGACTTGTAATGCTTGGGGTGCGGCGGGGGCGGAGGGAGAGAGGAGACCTGGATGGTGCCGTGGCTTTGCATTGAGCAGCCAAGTGGATGGTGGTGAGTATGTACTAAGATGGGAAGAACGATGGTTCAGGAGATGGGGGAGACTTTTGTTTTGGCCAAGTAAATTTTTGAAACGTCTTTTAAACCTCTAAGTGAAGATGTCAAACGTCTAGTTTAGATATATGAGTTTGGAGACCAGAGTGGCGTCAGAATACAAATGATATTTGAAACTATAAATCTAAAATAATCACATAGAAGGGAGTAGAATTCAGAGGGCTGGAGCATTAAAAAACAATGTAGAAGTTGGAAAAGCAGGAAAAAACAGCATAGTCAGGGAAGGAACGACCATTAAGGTAAAAAGAAAATCAATCTCTGCTGCGGTTCCAGAAATTAAAAAGTGTTTCAAGAATGGGTGAGGCATCATATGTCTAATGTTGCCGAGACACTGAATAAGATGAAAGCAGAGAATTGAATCTGGCAAACTGGTGACTTTGAAAGAATAAATCCCTGAATATATTCCAAGGATGAAAAGTTGGTTCAGCCTCCGCAAACCAGACCATGTGATGCATACAACGCATTAACAAAATGAAGGATAAAAATCATATGATCATTTCAGTAAATAGAGAAAAAACATTTGACAGAATTTAACATCCATTTATGATAAAAACTCTCAACAAAGATGGGTATGGAGGGAACTTACTTTAACATAGTAACATCCATAGTAACAAGCCTGCAGCTAACATCATACTCAATGGTGAAAAGCTAAAAGCTTTTCCTCCAAGATCAGGAACAAGCATAAGGATACCCATTATTTGCCACTTTCATTCAAAAGTATTGGAAGTCCTGGACAGAGCATTAGGCAAGAAAAATAATAGAAGGCATCCAAATTGGAAAGGAAGAAGTAAAACTCACTATTTGCGGATGACATGATATATATATATAGAAAACCCTTTAGACTCCATCAAAAAACTAGTATGACTAGTAAAATATAGAACTAATATAAACAAATTTAGTGATGTTGCAGGTTACAAAATCAATACTCAAAATCCATTGTGTTTCTGTACACTAAAAACAAACTATCAGAAAGAGAAATTAAGAAAATCCCATTTACAATTGCATCAGAAAGGAATAAATTTAACCAGGGATATATATTGAAAAATACCAGACATTAAGAAAAGAAATTGAAGGAGACACAAGTAAATGGAAAGATATTCCATGCTTATGGATCAGAAGAATTAATATTATGTCCATATTACCCACTGTAATCTACAAATTCGGTGTAATCACTATCAAAATTACAATGGTATTTTTCATAGAATAAACAATCTTAACATTTATGGAATTGCAAAACATCCTGAATAACCAAAACAATCTTGGGAAAAAAAAAAAAGCTGGAGTAATCATGCTCTCTGATTTTAAACTATTACAGAACCATAGCAATTAAAACAGTATAGTATTGGCATTAAAAACAAACACATAGGTCAATGAAAAATAAACCCATGTATATATTATCAGTTAATTTACAATAAAGCCAAAAATATACAGTAGAAAAAGGAGTCTCTTCAATAAATTGTGTTGGGAAAACTGGACAGACACATGGAAAAGAATGAAACAGCACTGCTATCTTACACTAATACACAAAAATTAATTCAGAATGGTGTAGACTTGAACATAAGGCCTGAACTATACAACTCCTAGAAGAAAACATAGGTGGTGAGCTCCTTCATATAGGTCTTGGCAATGATTTTTTAAATTTGACAACAAAAGTGAAACCTACAAAAGCAAACATAAGTGGGACTACATCAAACTAAACTACGTAGCAAAGGAAACCAAAAAGATAAGAAATAACAGGTGTTGGTGAGGATTTGGAGAAAAGGGAACCCTTATTCACTGTCTGTGGGAATGTAAATTGGTGCAACCACTATGGAAAGGTGTATTGGAGGTTCCTCAAAAGAAATGAAAAGTAAAACTACCATTATGCAGTTGTGTTAGTCACTCAGTCATGTCCAACTCTTTGCCACCCCGTGAACTGTAGCCTGCCAGGCTCCTCTGTCCATGGGATTCTCCAGGCAAGAATATTGGAGTGGGTTGCCATTTCCTCCTCCACGGGATCTTCCCCACCCAGAGATCGAACCCCAGTCTCCCATACTGCAGGCAGATTCTTTAGTGCTTGATCCACCAGG